CCCCCCATGCAGTGCCCAGGTTTCCATGCCCTTTGTTAGACAATCCCTTGCCTATTAGCCTTAAAAATGGACAGAATTAATTTTTCAGATTTACCTCATATACAGTAGACCCAATGGGGTGTGGATTAACTTTAGCAATTTTTGAGATTTACAATGAGTTAAACAGACCGCAAACTGTACCCAAGCACATTTGCTTATCCTTACTGCTGCTTACTACTAGCATATCCACATCTTACCAGACGGGATTAATAATATGTTCACATGCTAAGAATGAGAAAGATGTTTATAGAGCACAAGGAACCAGAAGAGCCAGGAATCCTAGTAGCAGAATAAGATGGGCAGGAGAACTGAGGGACAGCATCAGCAGCAGCACATGAAAAGCCCGGATTCCATTATTTTTAGACTATCTTGCAGTGTTAACTTCGTCGATTAAAATTTTTCGTTTTTTTCCCCGTTATATGGCTGTTTTTCCATGACGAAAATACGAAAAATAAAAACTACAGAAGTTAACGTGACGAAAACGATGACGGAAATTGAATGGCAAATGGCATGACAACTTCCTGTTCTTTGAGCTCTTCCTCTTCCTGGCAGTAGGCACTGGGCAGACGTGCCCAATTCGGCTTACTGATCCAGCCAGTGGGACACCAGCTAACACAGCACTTCCTGGCTGCACAGTCACAGCCACAAAGCACAAACTGTACAGGAGGAGACATCATGTCAGCAGGGAGAAAGAGAAGGGAAGATGTATGGATGCATTTCACATTTGATGCTGACGAGAACAAGACCCTTTTTAAACCATGTGGCGCATCAATCACCGGTAAAAACACAACAAACTTGAAGCGACATTTGAAGGTTACTCATCCTGAAATTCATGCAAAGGTAAGCACAGCACACTCATATGCTCATGGAACTAGCTGTCTCTATGCTAGGCAAGAAATTGTGTATAATACCCCACCAACAGCATCAGACTGAATTTCCTGTAAATAATTTTGAATTTTTAGGCTTTAGGCCTAATAAAACCTTCATAAAAAATGAGCACCTGCAATGTGAGTCATGCACATGGGTACATAATCTCTTCATTAGTATTACCACAATAAATGCTAATCACTTACAAAGGTGGAAATTGACTTTAAGCTAACATTATTATGTCACATAACATAAACTGATGTGTTTTTGCTAAACGTAATACAAGCCAAAATAAACCATGGCTGTCCGGATGAGAGAAACTAACCCTTTAATTGAGGACATATGGTGGGGGAAGTAAGGAGCATAAATGTAGTATACTATAGAGACTGGCATGTGTACGTGTGTATAGGTGAGAGAGAAAGAACAATAAGAACTAGTTTTTTTCCCCCCCTTATTCAACCCCATAGATAATAAAAACCTCCACTGATGGGTCACAAAGAAGTAGTAGTGCAAGTACAAATACAGTTAGAAGAACATCCCAGCAGACTATTTCAACAGCTCTCCTAAAGTCTTCAAAGTAAAAAAAATGAATCAAAAGGAACAACAGGTTAGGGAGGAGACCAAGGCAAAATGGATTGGGCGCACAGGATTGCCAGCCACAACAATTGAAGATGAGGACTCAAATGAAGGAGTATATAGGAGGCTGACTGCTCCAAAGAAATGTAAAATAAACAATCTGATTGACAAATACTATGAAGTAGAGAAGCAAAAATTCAAAAAGCGACTGGCTGCTGCGCGGAGAGTATCCATTTGAACTGACCTGTGGACAAAAAAAAAGGCTAACAGCTTCATTTCTTGCTATAAGTTCATGCTACTTTTGTGCTGAACAAAAGAAATCCGAACACATATTGTTGACCCTTGAACAAGTAGTGCACCCACACACTGCACAATTAATAAAGTCATGTGTGGACAAATGCATGCAAGAGTGGGCCATACCAAAGTGGAAGATCCTTACAGTGATAACAGAGACAATTGGAGTAATATGGTGGCAGCATTTATTAAACATTCGACCACAGCAGCAACAGAAGAAAATCCCAGCTCTAGTGAGGAAGACTCCCCCATGGTGGAATAGGGGTAAGATAGTATCTTGTGAAAAGGGATGTTAATTTGCAATGCAGTGACCAATGAAAGAAAAAAAAACTGGGCGCTGTGATTGTGTTTCACATTCCTAATGTCAAGCATAACATGTTCCATCAGATGATCCTATATCAAAATAAGTTTATAAGCTTATAATGCCCTACATGTTTTAAATGCAATCACTGTAGCCAGCTTGTTTCTTTCATTAGGCATCAAATTGCAGTTAATTTGTGAAGGTGCTGGTGTTCTAAGCATTGTTGAAACTTAAGAGTCACTAATGGAAATATTTAGCTCATTTAAAAGTCCCTCTTGTAACAGCTCAGTAATCCAAAACTTCCAAAAGATCTAATCTTCACACAAATATCACTGATGGATGTAAAAAGCGAGCAGTGATGTTAATTTTGATTAAAGGCAGCTCAACTCTGTGTTTTGTGCCTGAATAACTTATTTTAAGTTAAGTAAAAGTATTATGTATAAAACCCAGAGAGCTAATTTCCAAGTTTCTTCCACACCATTGAAAGTGCATTGGATTGTCATTAATCTTGTCCATCCTCCTCAAATGTACTTTAAAGAATTAGCATTTCATACTATTTTCTGGGCGTTATGCTCTGTCCAATTTTAAAATCATTAATTGTGCAAATGACGAGAAACCTTTTCATTTTGTAGAAGGTTAGAGCTCTGGCATATCCACGATAAGTGCATTAGCCAGGGAAAAATTTGGTTGGCACAGAGGCCTTCGCTATGGAGCCCAAACATATTCATCAACATAACGTCCTTCGTCTAATATCCAAACTACTGAACGCCAAAAGAGTTCTGTTGTCTAACAGACAAGCCGATTTCCAGCTTTTCCTTCCATTTGGTGCTTGCCAGCATATTATCTTTAGCTCCCCAGCCGCACTATATGACAGACGCTCAATTATGTAGACAATTCAATTCACATTTGAGAAAAATTTCCCTCAGTATCTCGCACTGCCGGCATTGCTACTTAACAGCACTGACAGGCTGTTTACATATCTGTGGTAGCAGGATGATGGTCTTAATTTTATTTTCCATTTATTTTTCAAACCCATTTTTTCAGTTATATGTATGTTCTTTATCAATTACAATTATATCTCTGGCATGCAAGCCCTGAACTCTTTCTGGTACTTTTACAGCAAATGTATTTCTTTCAGTATAAGTGGGTTACATTGTAATTATTATGGTGATGAAGCAGGTGAGCGAGGCCAAAGGCGCAAATGTTGTGTTCTGAAACATTGTTACCTATTAAAGTTCACACCTATAAGTCATTACGTGGTATTCCATTTCTTCTACCAGGACAAAATGCAAAAGTAGGCTGAAATCACATAATTTTACAAACATCTAGGGGTTGATTTACTAACCTTATAAGCACGCCACAAACAAGTATACACCTCTGTAGTGTGTTCCCTCCCAGCATGATCTATTGGTGGAATCTAGACACCTTTGTAGTGTGTACACACCCAGCAGGTGTGTTGTGCGAAGCCCTGCATGGATTGCAAGGTGATGTTGTGTAAATTAGCTCTACATTGTGTTGCTTGCGTTGATGAATGCAGGAATGTAAATGCATGAGCTAACCATTTTTGTCTAAACTGTGAAGCAGCATTATATATGCATCATGTGCATGATTTTTCCATATATGGCATTAGTGGAAATATGCTTTTAGAGACTTTTTGGTTGATAAATACGTTTTGCTGTGTAAAAATCACACGCACCTAGTGCGTGCGTGTGTTTAGGTTAGTAAATCACCCCCCTAGTGTGGCTTTTTAGTGAGCCTTACATTTATCTTTATTAAAGGTTCAAAGTTAGTTCCCAGTAGCAATGTGCAATAGCAACTTGTAACGGATAAGGGTGTCTAATTTTGTATAGGGTCCCTTATTCAACTGCTTGTTTTGTCTACAGATCACATAGAGACCATTGTGTCAGTGAGAGTCTTTTGACTTTTGAATAGCCTATAAACATATCTTCAGTCAAGTTTCCTACCAAAGGCTAAAAGGCAAAAACTGAATAACTTCATAAAAGCATTTTCCTGAACTTTTCTCTAGAATTCTTTTAATAAAGAGTGATGGCCGTGGAATCCGCCTTCAAAGCAGGGAACAACTGAAACTGAGCCACCACATCAAGCATACAATTAAGCCAAGCAATTTCGGCAAAATGTATTAAACTGTACCTTGATTTTGCCTCCCCCATTGACAATGCATTCCCCCAAAATGGGAAACTTCTCAAAATTAACTGATCTGCACTAAAATTTCAGGAATACAAACTCCCAATAGCTCGCATCCCTAATCAAGCTCAACAGTGGACACTTGTATGGCTGTAACAGCCCATGGAAAGAAAGATGATCGAAAAAAAGTCACTGGCTGTAGTGGATGGACTTGGGTTAAACTGCCTAATTTTAAACACTTGTGTGTCCCTTTATGGGTTAACAGCCACTATGGAGCAGAGTAACACAATAGGGAGGTCTTTGTATTATTTACTTACTGGACTTCAGTTTTGGATCCTTTATTTTTTGTTGATAAGGATATTCATACTTCCCCATAATTAAACAATACCACTTTTAAATTTAATGGGTTAGTTAAATGCAGTTCCATATGTTCCCTGATTTTAAGATGAGGACTCAATTATCATCTTTGTTTATTTAACATAATTCTAAACATAATTTGACATTTAGAAAAATCCTCTTGTAAAAATGTTATTCACTAGTGTTACATTTTTGTTTTTGGTGTGATGTTCTTGCTAAGTAAGAATAATTGTCAAATTCTGGAAATACTGTAAGATCATATGTTCAGATTTATAGAAAATCAGTGTGGCAGCAATGACACCCTTTGGTCACAGACTTCATTGTCTTCTGGGTTAGTATGCCCAGTAGTTGGCTAGAACAGAGCACTCAGTTATGTAAATGATATAATGCTATTTATTTTAGGGGAAAAAAAAACACTTACCATTTCTGTCAATAGCAAATGGTATATCACTTGTAACAATCTCATAATTGCAGATCTGGCTGTATTGAGGAGAGCAGTCCTCGTCTATTGCTTCCACTTGCAAGATGCTGTCGTATATTTTACCCTCAGTCACTGTTGCCCTGTAAGTGTTTTCTTTAAAAACAGGAGCAAATTCATTCACATCATTAACCTGGATGTGGACCACAGCCCTAGAAAATAATACACAGGAAAAAACAATTTTACACAAAGGAAACCAGGTAGAGCATACTACATTAGCATAAACATGCTAGATTGTTCATATTATTCCAGAAAATTGATCCCAAAGCATATCTTTCATTGTGCTATATGAATTATGATCTGGAGCACTGCACTGTTAGCAAAGAAATGTGAGCATCTCATTGCCCGTTGTGTGTTCTGAACTGAATTATCTTCCCAAGTGTTCCGAATGTAAAAATATAAGCCAAGATTACATCGGGGATACTGAGAGAGGCTGAAAATGCTAGTGAACAGAAAAAATCTGTCCTAGCCCAGGACTGATAATTTCACAGTTCAGGAATACTGGAGCACCAGAGAGGATTTTTAAGATGGTCTGAGCATGTGTGTGCTGCTGAACCTCAAATAGCACTGTCTTAGTTTATTTGCCTATTCAATACAGGCTATGCCCTCTTTTCACTTTGTACCAAGTACTGCATGGACAAGGCAGTAGTGCCCACACATAAAAATTTTTGCTACTGTGAATTTACCAAGCTTCTGAAGTTTTTTAGACATCAGTGCCACTATTTACTTTTTATTTACCAAAAAAAAAAAAAGATAACCATAACTGTAAACCAGGGAAGTAACAAGGGAGGCAGTGTTTACAGGGTACTTTAGAATTAGTTTTATCACAGCTACTTTCATAGTTTATTTGGTTTATTTATTTGGCAATATGATTGTAAAGTACACGCTTTTATTTCTATGCAGAATATTCTGCTCTGAGATGAAAAAAAAACAACAACAAAAACATTACACATCATGCTCTAATAGGGCCCAACATGATAGCTTAAAGCAGGGGCGCCCACTTTTTTTCGTCTGGAGATCTACTTTTCAAATGACGAGCTCATTGAGATCTACCAAAAAAAACACCTGCATTCAGGGGCGGGAGGGGGCGTGGCGGTGCATTGAAGTAAATGGCACCGCAGCCAGGCTCCGCAGGCAGGCCCCTCGCCCACAGTGCAATCGCCTGCATTAGTGCCTGTGTTCCAGTCCAGTGCGATCCGCAAAAATGCTGCAAGCACTATTTTTGCAGATCGCACTGGACCGGAATGCAGGCACTAATGTGCCTGCGTTCCGAGTGCGGGCGATCGCAATGTGGGCGATGCCCATGACTTCAATACAGCTCCACACCCCCTCCCGCACCTGAACGCAGGGAGTCGGCCGGCTTACATTCCAGTGCGCCCTACATGTCCCGGCGCCCTGTCCTCCCGTGGTGCTCGTGTGGCCGACGTTGCACATGGGGTGTCCTGCACCTTTCTATCTGAAGCGTCTGACACATTCTGCCGGCCGCCGCACGAGCACCACGGGAGCATAGCCGTAGCCAGCTCCTTTTGCGCCTGAGGCAAGAAAAAAAATGTTTTTTTAATTTTATTTTTTACTTTTTTTTTTTTACTCTTGGGGGGGCTTCGGGGAAATATTAGGGGTCTAAAAAGCCCCCTGATATTTCCCTTTTAAAATAGAAAAAGAAATTGAGGACACAAAGTCCTCAATCTCTTTTTCTGCAGCCTCTATTCTAAATGAATGGAAAGCACAGAGGCTTCCCATTCATTAAGAAAATATTTTACTATCAAGCTGTTTCTGAATGGGGAGGAGCCTCTGTACAGAGTGCTTCTCCCCATTGAGAAACTTATGAATGAACAGGAGGTGATGTAAATCACCTCCTGTTCATTCATTTATAACTGGGGACACATAGTACTATGTGTCCCCAGTTATTTACAAACACTGGAGTGATCAGCCGATCGCTCCAGTGTTTGTCCTACACAGAGGATTGGTACATACTGGTGACATGTACCGATCCTCTGCCGCTCGTCCACGCACAGGGGGGCTGCCACTTCTCTGGATCCCCCTGATACTACGAGCCGGGGGGGGGCGGAGCCGCTGTGACAGAACGGACGAGCAGTGAGGGGAGAGAGAGGCGCCGGCTGTCAGATCCTGGCCGAGCGTCTCTCTCTCTCCTCACTGCTCTGCATTAGTTAGTGACAGCGGCTCTGTCCTCCGCCCCCCCCCGCCGCCGGTTCCTTCACTTCTTCTCGGATCCCCGCTAGGGAGAGCAGCGGGGATCCAGAGAAGCGGCGGGAGGAGAGGACATGCTACGCGATCGACTGGTAGATCGCGATCGACCTTGTGGGCACCCCTGGCTTAAAGTATCTAAGCCAACAAATGTTTTAGATAAACAATTAGAAACAACAGGAAGTAAGAGGAATCTAGGTAGGTACTGCCCTGGGGGACATGTATCAATGAAAAAAACATTATGTTCGAGTCGAACCTATGTTCGACTCGAACATGCAGCCCATCCCTACTCAATACCGAAAAACTGTTAACATGCATAAACATTTATGCCTAGAGTTTAGCTTTAATACTTACTTGTTTCTATGCCAGTTCTGCCAAACGTCACTGCGTTTAAGATCTAAGCTTGTTGAAGAATGTTCAACATTCAACACTTCCAAGAGTATCAGAAGCCAGCATCCCCTGCTGCACTCTGCAGTTTCCTCTGCCAGCCCCTGCACCACTGAAGGACACAGTAGTGATGCAGGTGTCAGCGAAGGAACCATAGAGTAGGGAGGGAGGAACGCCAGCATCTGAGACTCCAGGAAGTTTTGAATGTCAAACATTCTTCACTTAGCTTGGATCTTCAACATAGCAAATTTCGGCAGCATAGGCAGCAGGATAGGTAAGTTTTAAGGTCTCAAACCCGTCTTATACGCCGGCAAATACGATATATATATATATTATATATACCGTATTTGCCGGCGTATAAGACGGGTTTTCACAACAAAATAACCAAATATATAAATATATTAAATAATACACATATTGTATTGATATGGTTAATAATGAACATTATAGAGTGTGTTTTTATAAAAATCCCTGCATTTAGTGCTACATCTAATACCACTACGTACTCCACGACAACAAAACCTACAAATTAACCAAACACAAATGGATTATTATAATTGAACATACATGAGAGCTGATCATCTCACAGAAATGCACAGAGCTGAAATTACCATTAGAAAGTACATTTACTGGAGGGAAGGTGCATTGCTAGTGGGAAGGTGATGTGCACTGTTACTTTTAATAACAGAGTCAGGATTCTGGCTTTCTTTAACAAGCATGGACAAAAGTAATTCTTCTTCACTCTCAGTAGGGAGCAAGACGCATGATGAAGGAACAAAAGCAGTGTGAGATGAGAAAAGCATGATTTAAAACACATGCTGAATGGCAATTATGTCAATGAAAATGGCAAGCGGAAGCCTAGCATACTCCAATAATGGCTAAGGAAAGAAGAAGGTGTGCACCTGCATTATACAAGAGTGAATATTAAATTTAATTCCTTCTTAAAACATACATTTTTATGCATTGGGTATAATATTTGTTGAATGATATTTTCTTCCAAACTCTAGGAAAGCTTGTTTAACTGAAAATAAATACACAGCTATGGCTTGATTTTCTCAGTGTATAGTGATGAAGAATATTAAGATTGGGTCGGCAGATTATCTATTCTCCCTATTAGTAGAGAAATGTTTACATCTACTGTGTGCAAATCTCAAGAAAATGAGGAAGGCGTTCGGGGACTGTACAATATTTATCTTTTTTTTTTTAAATAATAAGATTTTATTTCGATTTTGCAATATACAAAAGTACAAAAATACAAAAATACAAAAACACAGGGGAACATGATACAGACACGTCCGGTCATCCACCTAGCCCCATCGTATGCATGTACATGCCATTTCTTCAGGACATGCGCAGTGGGTAGATATGCATATGCTCTATCAACTAATACTCTGTAGTCGCATGTAGTGTAGTGGGGCTGTCGCACATATCATCGGAGGACCAGCAGAGGAAACTGGATGAGATACATCCCGGCTGAAATGCCGGATTGCCCATTATGGGGGTCATGGGTCCGTCAGGGGAAGACAAGTCATGTGTCTTGGTCAGAAGGTTCCATACTTTCAGGAGAGGTGGGAGAGCAAAGGGAAGCGTAGAGGAGTGGGGCCGTGGGCAGGAGCAAGCCAAGGTACTGAGAAGGGGAGTACCGGTGAGATTTGCGCTTCCAGGGTAACCCAGAGCTTATGAGCTCCCCGGTGCTTCCGATCAAGGATCTGAGTGAGGAGTGCGGCATAGTAATAGGTTTTCAGATCAGGTAAAGCTAAGCCCCCTGATTCCTTCGCACGGACCAAAATGTTATAGGCCAGTCGCGGGCGTTTACCGTTACTCATTCCCACACAGTTATTTTTTGTATCACTTGCCCCTCCCTTTAGCTTGTAAGCTCTCATGAACAAGGCCCTCCTAATCTTCTTGTCTTACATTGTATTGTAACTGTACTGTCTCACTTTATTTTGTAAAGGGCTGCACAAACTGTTGTCATTATACTAGGGCTGCAGCTAACGATTATTTTCCTAATCGATTAGTTAGCCGATTATTACTTTCGATTAATTGGTTAATCGGATTCTTTTTAAAAAAATGCTCCAATGATGGACTACTAGTTTCTATTGAGATTGTAGTCCATCACGGGAGCAAGCTTGGCGCGGTGGAAGTAAAAAAAAAAGCAATATAGTACATTATACAGCGGCACAGTGCAGAATACTAGCAGCTAGTACTATAATGTACTATTGCTGGGATTTGTAGTCCTCTGTAGCTGCCGCTATTCTGCATTGCGCTGTATATAATGTATTATTGCTGGAATTTGTAGTCCTCTATAGCTTCAAATGGCCCACCTACAATCGGCACGATGGAAAACGTTGACAACATTTTCCATCGTCGATTATAATCGACTTCATCAAATAATTGTTGCAGCTCTACATTATACAAGTCCTGTATAATAATAATAATTATTATTATTATTCTGACTTTAAGACTCCCCATACATTCATATGCTTTAATTATTGTTTCTTTCTGTGGTAGATGCTGACTACCTCTAGTACTGATTTAACTTATTACTAGTAACAAGTGT